ATTGATAATGTCTTTTTGAACAAGTGAACTAGCATTTGGTGACTCTCATGTGCATTCTGCAATACCACTTTTGATATTTCTTCATTGTGCTTTGCAAAAAACTTCAGGAGTTCAATGAAATTCCCACGATTAATAGACTCATGACTTTCATCATGTCCACGCAGAGGTAAGCCTTACCGTAGAAGAAACCGTATACAATCAACATTTGTAGTCAATCAAATACGATATTCTTGCTTCATTTGCTCCGATTATTTTGAGAGACATACTTGTATATGCTTCTCTTGAGTCATCCAATTACGTAAGCTTGTACATTACTACCGTGTACATTGTTATGTTTTCCAACATGAGCATGAAACATTTCTGACCCTTTTTGACAATTATTGAATCCTTCTATTACAAAGGAATCATCTTCACCTTATTGTCATGTACTATCATTATTGAATAGATAACAACATAAACAATATGTTGCATCTTGGGATATACTATACTTCAACCAGTTACTATGGTCTTTAAATCATTGAGGATTGAACCTGTGATTGGTGCTTGCAATCATTCTCGAGGGAAATACATTGTTTTAAGGTTGAAAAGGACCCATTTGAAGATATAGTCGTCGCACAATATCTCTATCATTGACATGACATTCATTGATATTCTTCCTTTTACCGGGATCAACTTCAAGATTTTCTAAATTTAATTCAATGCAAGGACGTGAGATAGAACCTTTCGCAGAGCTTTGATTAGATAAATCCTCAAATGTAGACTTTCTTTTGTAATGAAAATAATTTGTCAAGACTGATTTTTTCATAACTGAACAAGAAAATGTATTCCATAAATTCATTTAGGAATATTAATTACACATATTATTCAAAGAAACTATTTCTCAATAATTCATATTTAACTGAAATTGTGATTGAGTTATATCTCAACCATGTCAAATAAATTGATATTCTTAACAATCTCATAACTTTTATTTGCAATTGTCAATTGATTTATACTACTATTTCTCAGTATCAAATCACTGAAATTACTTCAACAAAATAGACCTAATTCTTTCATATAGCAACTACCGGTCTACCAATCACAACCAATGAATCAAAATGACCAAACATTGAAACAATAATTCACAAACTACAAAAGCAAGTGAAGATTGTTGATGAAAATAACAGATAAAATCAAGAGCCTAGTCACGAGTCTTACCTTGAGAGTTGAGAATTGACAATTGACGTAAAAAATCATTGATGAAGACAACAAATTAAAGAATCAAAATCCTACTTATATTGGTTGGTCGTTGATGCAACCAGTAAGCCACGCAAGAGTTCGGAGTCGGTCAGAGGCTTCAACAGTCGATGAAGGGCATCACCGGATTCACCACGTCGGCCATCGTCGTCTTTGTCGCCGCGTCGCGTAGATGGATTCGCTCACTCGCTCAATGCCTCATCTGTTACAACCTACAAGAAGTATGGAAGAGGCGGAGTTGCCGTCGCCGGTCTGTAGAGTCGAAGCTTGGAAGAGTCGAAGTCGATTGGAATTATGCAGACTGAAAAGGTGAAGAGCATAAGAGCCGAAGGGGGTAAGGACCGTCAGAGGATTAAGGTGATTGTTGAAAGGAACTCCAGCTTCGGTGCTTCACGCTGCAATCACCGAGCCTATTTTTTAAAAAAAATCCCAAAACGCACCTAAATGATCAAAACAATGTCATTTTGGTTTTTGCCTACAAATTCAGTGGGGGCAGCTGCCCCTGCCCCCATGTTGCAAATCCCTGTCAACAGTAGGTCTATGAACAAGCATAAATCCTCTTCATCCACAGAATTGAATAGAGCCTCCACCCACTCAGCCACTCCTGCATAAAAACAATTGGCCGCCTGAAATCCTTCCCTCTTTTTGCCCAAACCTTGGCCACCACCATACAAATTTTGAACAAATGGATTGTTATCTCCTCCTCCTCATTACATAGCTGACAATCCCCTAGTATGTCCACCCTTCTTTGTCTTAGCATATCTACCGTTGGAAGCACATTTGCCATAATCTACTAAAAACACGTTTCATCGTTGGATGTATGAACCCCCCCCCCCCCCATATTCTTGTCCAACATAACCACCATTCCTCCTCGATCTCCTCGACTAATCATCGATAATTTTTATTTAACAGTGTACCGACCCCGAGAATCATCAATCCACTAATATCCTGTAATACTTGAGATTAATTTAAAAGGGTTAATAATACTACTCATATCAACAAGGTGCATCTCCTTTTAAGGGAGCTCATCAGCTAAGAACTCCAAGTTAAGCATGCTTGCATAGGAGTAGTCTTAAGATGGGTGACCCCTTGAGAAGTTTCTCAGGGTGTGCACGAGTGAGGACAAAGTGCGCGGTAAAGGTTTGTGTGGTTTGTAAGAACAGTATGAATGATATGGAAAGTATATAGGAGTAACCTACCTCAGGCCCTGCGGGGTCAGGGAGTTATAAATGGTACCAGAGCAACTCTACGATAGTGTGTTAATCCGTTGGATATCAGGCAACCACTTAGCAGAGGAGGATTCTAGGGCTTGATTGGGATTAATGTACATATAGGCGTAAGTGAGCGCAGATCCGTTTCTAAGTGGGGTGACTGTAATACTTGATATTAGTATAAAAGGATTAATAGTATTATTCATATGAACTAGGTGCATCTCCTTTTAAGGGAGCTCATCAGCCAAGAACTCTATGTTCAGTGCGCTTGCACGGGAGTAGTATTGAGATAGGTGACCCCCTAGGAAGTTTTTCAAGGCGTTCACGAGTGAGGAAAAAGTGCACAATAAATGATTGTGTTGGTTTGTGAAGACGGTACTTATACTCTGAAGAGTATCTAGAAGTAACTACTTTGGACCCTATGGGGTCAGGGTGTTACATACCCGTCCAGGACTTCCCTTCGGCTAACAGGAATATTCAGTACAACCGCTCGCTCAACCCCTATAAAAATAGAATGTATCTTCTCCAGATTCCAACCAAACTGGTCCTCCTTAATAAGGGGCTGCAACATTCATGTCAGCAATGACATTTGGTCTGGCCAGATGCACCTGCCCGTTGTCTTTCCCCGAGAGCCATCTATCCCTCCACACAGATATATCCCAACCATGTCTAACCCTTTTATGTGTCCCCTCTCGTACTTGATTCTGAGGGATTGATAGGTAAAAGGAAACTAGCCTATTCATCAATGGAGGGCCTAGGGGGCAAGCGCCACCGCTTTCGGTCCCGAAAAATACTATTAGTATTAGGGTCATAGAGTAGCACCCATGCTTTTAATCCAGTTGAAGATTATCAGTTTTTTACGAGTGTATAAATTTGAATATGTAAAAACTGCTAGAAAGAAATATTGTTGCACTGAAGAAGGGAAATGTATATTTAAAACTCATTTTCAAAGTCATACCATTTGATTATGAGTATTGCCAACACTCAAGAAATTTATTTCGGATATGAATATTGGAATAAGGATCACACTATCATTCCATTATAATGAGCACCTCCGTAGCTAATTCCACACCATTTGTCCTAAAAGAATGTTCATGTCATAGTTTATGATGCATACTTGATGATAAAACTTATTCTTTCTTATTAATAATTAGACTTGTATGAAAAATTCAAACTTGACTTACATATTAAGAAACTACACTAAAGAAAGAGTGAATCACATAAATGAATACATATATTGCATACAATAACAATTTTAACTCCTACTTCTCATTTCACTAGAGAGACTTTTAACATGGCTCTAAGCCAACATTTTGTAATGAAACAACTTTGACACGATCCATAAATATTTGCTATATATGTTACTAATTTTTTTCATGAAGAAATTACCACAGAAGTGTGATCTAAATTCTTGAAATTATAAGTTCATGTTGGACCTGTTTTTTATATTGAAATATAGTTCAATATGTAAACCCAGTATTACAATGTAGTTTGTGGAATGCGAGGACTGTTAATCTAAATTGAACTCCATTATGAGATCATTGTGGTACTATATTTCAAACTAGTAAATTTGGTCCATTAAATTTCATAGTCCGAAACACTTAAAATTTTAATATGAAACTTGAAATAGTGTAAAGGCAATGTGGTTCTAATAAGCTTATATACAGATTCTAATCTCGGTTACTACTCTAAAAATCGCTCTAGGCGCCTGACTAGCCCTCTCCTAGGTGCTAGGCAGTGGTCGGGGCGCTCTGATTTTAGTCTAGGCGCTCCGTCTGATTGATTTGGTGTCTATGTGAATTAGCCGACCGCCTAGGGCGCCTAGCCGCCTAGTTACCCACTCATAGCGCTTAATTAGCTGCCTAGGACGTCTAGATTCACCGAACATTTTTTTGCTTTTATATATTAGTTTCCTAAAAGATATATGTACCATTAACTTTAACAAAACATATGAAGAAAGTTGATAGCTCTAGATTAATATAAGAACTATACATGTTTGTACATAATCTAAAATATTGTTATTATTATTTTGTACTCCGTAATATTTATTACATAATGAAGTTAACCGAGTATGCATGTTATATTATTAAATGTGACAACTCTATCATTGATGCATGTTAATGTGTATGTGTGTATATATTTTTACAACTATACACACACAAATACAACATAGCACAACATCACTAATCATATTTTTGCAAAACATTGACAAAACTATAATTTATATGTCTGACTAGTTCCCGCCTAGTATATTTTCAAAATTATGTATATTTTTCTTTTAAAAATCGACTATTGCTATTTAGAATTGTCCAAATGCTCACACAACTAGACGTAAAACCAGAATATGTATAAAGTCAATCTGAATTGAATACTGTTAAGTGTTAACAGGCCAAAATTGAACCCGACCCAACCCGACTCAAGTCAATTTCGCCCCCTTTGAAAAAACGTGTAGGTCCATCACTAGTATTTGTTGTTATGTATAATTACAGAATTTTTTATAAACAAAATCAAAAGAATTTGGTCAACGCACAAGCGGCCCAAAAAAGCATCAGCCTAAATTTGAGCCCAACTATCGAAGAGGTTTTCGCCCAGGCAAGAAGTCTTTGCGTTTTGACAATTTGAACAAAGTCGACCCAATAGGCAATAGCACCATAGCAGAGACGACTTAGATCAACACTCACGAAGAAGAGACTCTTCCCAACAATGGAAGCTCTGGCGATGCGCCTTCGATCGGCCATTGTTCTTTTCTTCTTTGCTTCACTATATTTATTAGTTGGTTCATCGTCTCCGGAGCTTCATATCATCAACGCCGAACGTAGAGTGAGCTCCCATTTTCTTTTAAATTGTAGACGTTCTAATTACTCCCGCAATTTGAATAATAAACAGATGTAACGGTTGAAATTTCTTATCTTCCTGACTGTTATAATTTTACGCGTGTTTCATTAGTTGGGATTGGGCAGAGAATTGCTAGCTCTGGTGTTCTGATTTGATACAAATTTACTCATAATCTTAGTTTTTTATCTGCATTCGCATTTGGGAAATCAATGAACATCAGAGTTTTTCTGATGATTCTGTGACCTAGTTCCCTGCTTTAATTTAAGATGCTAAAACTGCAGGAATGATTATTACGCCTCTACGTTTCTGTTATTAACGATCATTTCCTGCTGTTTTTGTTACAGATCCAGGATTTTGTTTTGTTCTACTTATTGCTGAAAAATTGATTTATAAAAAACTATCGCTGTGATTATGTCCTGGAATTTCTATAATTTTGAATTCTTTTTCTGTATGTAGGTAGACCTGAATTCTCACATTGTCCGAACTTACTTGACATTGAAGGTACTTTCCCAATTTCTAGCAGTTCTTTAAATGCTGAAGTGCTCAGCTTTGTTCTGATATCTTAAGTTTATTTGTATACATACCACGAGTCACAACAAACTAATCTGACGCCAACTTCCAAGATCCCATTATGATCCTTTTTCATGATCCCATTTCAGGTTGAAAATGCTGGAGAATCTCCAGCTTCAGAAATCCTTCTGTGTTTCTCACCAGAACAAGCTGATCATCTAGCAGTGCTTAAAGCAGCTTCTGTTTCTGGTAAGAAGAAAAAGACCTCTTATCTGCCTCTTGAAGTGAAGCTAGCTAACCGTCCTGATGGGCCAAATGGAGCTAAATACTATTCTATATCTTTGCTCAAGTCATTGAGCAAAGGTGAATCTGTGTCTATTGAAGTACTCTATGTACTCACACATTCACTTGTACCTTTCCCAGCGGAAATAAGCCAGTCTGAGTCTCAGCTAGTGTATTATCATGACAGTGCTATAATACTATCACCATATGTTATTAAACAGCAAGTTACTTTTATAAAGACACCAAGTACTAAGATTGAGTCCTTCACAAGTATGGAACCAACTGATCATGCTGGGACACAAATAAAGTATGGTCCATATGAGGAGCGCTCTCCATATTCGTACTTTCCCATAATTGTTCATTTTGAAAATAACAATGCATTTGCTGTTGTGGAGGAGCTTGTACGTGAAATTGAAATTTCTCACTGGGGCAGTATCCAGATTACAGAGCATTATACTCTAATGCATGCCGGTGCTCGGCATAAAGGTGTTTTCTCAAGGTTTGCTTATATTAATATTGTTTCAATTACAAATTGCAACAAGTTTTCTGCTATTTAAATCATAATAGGATATGTTGTATACTTTTATCAAAAACATCTATTTCGCTAAAGCTGAAACCCATTTAAAAGATCAACAAGAAGATGAGCTTCATCTCGTAATGTGTCATGAACTAATAACCACATATCCTCTTTCGTAATGTTTTGGCTGCCAGGGTTGACTACCAGTCTCGACCATCTCAGAGTGGCGCCTCTTCATTCAAGAACCTCCTTGCTGAACTACCTCCTAGAGTTCATTCAGTGTATTACAGAGATAATATAGGGAACATTTCTTCCTCTCGTTTGCGTACCAATGCAAAGAAGGTATCTCACATGATGCTCTTCATCTCTATCTCTTTACTGTTGTCAGTTTTTCTTAAATCCTTGTATATTTTTTTCTATTTGTGATTTATGACAAATGCTTTTCATATATTTTTTATTTATACAGTTTATCTATTTGTGATTTATGACAAATGCTTTTCATATATTTGTTATTTAGTCAGTTTATCATTTTTTTGCTTTCTAGTTTGTTTCTTTAGATGGACAGTGTAGTCGTCAACCATTTAAGTATTGTCAAAACAGTTCAAGTAGTGAGATGTATTTCATTACTTGAACTATGGCTGTACTTTTCTAACATCCACCTAGCGTTTTGACTTATCAATGTGTAAGACACATTCTTTGTGTATTCTTAAAAAGGGGTGATCAAGAAAATGAAAAAATGCAGACGAAAGATGTGTAAATTACAATCTCGGTGAATCTCCATTTCTTTTTGCAGTCGGAACTTTTGATTGAGCCACGATACCCTCTGTTCGGAGGGTGGAAAGCCACCTTTGTCCTTGGGTATGGAGTTCCATTGAATGACTTTCTTTATGAATCTGCTAATGGTGATCGTTACCTAAATTATAGTTTCGGGTGCCCTCTAGCAGAGACTGTTGTTGACAAGTTGACCATCAAGGTGGGGCATCTAATTTTTAACTTCTCTCTAGCTCTTTATAGTATTTCTGCATATGCTCAGATAATTATTCATTGGCTGTGTTTTTTAGGTGGTCCTTCCAGAAGGTTCGAAGAACCCATCTGCTGTGGTACCTTTTCCTGTCAAACAGAGTTTAGAGGTAGCTGTTATTTAAATGGCTTCAATGTATCTCTTTTTTCGCTAACAGAAGCCAATGACATACTTCGTATATAGATCCTACAGTAACTTGTGTTGGAGCAACAATCAGATGGATTGAACAATTACCTATTAGATTCATCCACGCTACCCCTTTAACTGAAGTATTGTTATTTGGATTATTGCAGAAAAAGTACTCATACCTAGATATTGCTGGGAGGACTGTTGTGGTCCTTGAAAAGAATAATGTAGTTCCTGAGCACAACACTCCATTCCAGGTGACCTCCCATGTTCCTTTCTGTCAAAGTGCCTGAGAGGACCCATGATTATACAAACCCGTTTAAAAAAATGCATTTTCAATAGTGTTTTTTTGTCAGTTGCCCCCAACAAAAAAGGAGTCCTATAATCCTTTTTAGTTAAATAAAGTTAATTTTTCATGTTGATTTCCAAAGAAAACTATAATCGGCTAGCAATTATAACTTTTTTAGTTAAGTATAAGTTCTAAAACCATATGTAGAATTCCATAACATTTGAGATTTCTACATTCATTAAACATACAAAGTTCTACATAGATTAACTCTTATAGTTGGATCCATCATTGACACATTAGTTTTTATATGATGAATAGAGAGTATTACATAATTTAGAAATTACAATATTCTGATCCATGTACCAAATCTGGGATGAGATAATTAGGCCTTGTTTGGAATCACTAACTATTTCTTGGAATTGGTAGTGATACCCATGTTTGGGATCAAGAATCAAGATATCTAGGAATTACAAGAGTCCCGGGAATTCCCAACTCCTGAAATTACAGGAATCAAACACCATCCATAAACCATTGGTTTTGCCCATATTCCAAACTTGGTTTTATAGAACTCCGATCACCAAATCATTCTGAATGAAGAAAATGTGTTCTCGACTTCTGGTACCTTGTGCATATTTTGCAATCAGAATATATATGTGTGTTAATGGATTTAATTTATACTACTCCTTTTCTCCCGAAACATAAGTTTTACTGCAAACACTTGCCCCCCCCCCCCCCCCCCCCCACCCCCCAAGTCAAGTTTAACCAAGTGAAGTTCAATTTTCATGAAATATGCAAAATACGAGTCACGGACAAGTTACATATTACGGATTATAAATTTAGATAAACTGACAACTAAATTTAAAAAACTAAATATGATTCATAATTAATGAATGTTGTACTTTACCAATATTAAAAAGTTGTACACTTTTCAAACATGACTTGTTTGGGATGGAGGTTGGTTGGTCTGTTGGAAAGAACAACACTATGATGAAGGTTACTCATTCTTATGCATGATGCTATACACGTGCCTATTTTTAGGGTTCTAATGGAACTCCTTGGGTATTGATCCCTGCAGGTCTATTACCAGTTCAGCCCAGTTTTCATGCTTGCAGAGCCAATGATGTTGACTGGCGTCTTTCTCCTTTTCTTCCTCACTTTTGTCACTTGCCAGCAAATGGATCTCTCTATCCGCAAATCCAAACAAGCATGACTGTAATGACTCTTTTGGACCCATTAACGTTTGCAATATTCTTTAAATTTTACTCTTATTACTTATTTGCTGCTCATCTTATTTTATTTACAGCACATACCTTTTTCACTAGCACAGTGAAGATTTTACTATATTCAGCTTGAAATTTTACAAATATCTTGGCAGGAAGGCGTTTAGTAGTTGATGATGAAGTTTTGGTCTCCGTTTCTTTTTTTGGGAGAGAAGTTCCCTATTCTTCACTGGGACTTGACGCTAATATTTACTTTAGCATGCTTGTTGGTATTATGTATCCTGCAGCATTAGATAACAAAAGACACCAAAACTCTCACGATTCATAGTGTATTATGAAACAACTCACTTTTGTCGTGTATGTTGCTGATTTATAGTGCCCAAACTTTCTATGCAAAGGAATGTATCAGATTTTTATGAGGATTTGAATATCGCTCAATTAAAATTATAATAGAATAAATAATCCAAGTTTGAGCATGTTTGCTAACAGTAAATTTGATTGAATCGACTGATTCAATTGAATGCTTGAAGTTGATGAAGTTTTGGCTAAATTGATTGAATCTAATGACTTATTTTAAAAAATATTTATAATATAATAAAATATAGAAAAGATTATATGAAAAATAACTAAAAGTAATTCCAAGTTTCCAATCTCACTTACTTCCATTATTTGTGAAATTAAAAGTTGTGTGTTTTGATAAAAATAAACCGGTTGATAAATAAAAAATTTGAAACTACACGTTTACACCAACAGTTCTGTTGAACAGAAAAAGTTGCTACCTAAAAAAGGTTGTCCTAATATTTGAGGTAGCACACTAGCACCTTTTGGTAACTAATTAAAATTAGATAAAAAAAAATAGGACTCTTATCATGATCAAATGAAGCTAAGGTGCTCATTAGGTGCTTGCAAATCTGTATCTGATTCCTCAGTTACCATGGGGATGAGTGGGTTGCAACTTTGTATGTCCCTTCTAACAACACAATTGGAGAGCTTGGAATAAGGCACATAGTTCTGCTCGCAAAACTGTCTCAGCTTGAACAGGGAAGCGAAGACCCCTAATGAACTTTGCAGTATGATCTCTTGCAACCGCACCTCCATAAGCTCTATTAGTGAAAGCTGTATAAGTATTAAGTTTGAGAAACTCAGCAGATGGTTTCTTCCAAGAACCTGTTTATTATGCTCAGTCTGACTGCTGTTTTATTGGGACAACAGTATGCTGACATGTTTGACGAGAGTGTGGTGTTTACTGCTTAGTATACTTGGTGGGAGATGTAGATTGACACAGGCCGGCATGTGAGCTTTTAACAAGACAATATCATGGAAAAGGTGCTCTATAATGCCCATTTAAACTTCTCGCATCCAAAGCTAGCCACGATAAAAGATCATACACTATCTCAGCGATGAATCGATGATCGTTGGTGATAGTACACCATTAACAGAATCATAAAGTAGTTCCACATTTGACTTTGAAAGGAGCAGAAATAGAAGATGTGATCGATTGAAGATTCTTTCTTGTGGTAAAAGGGCACATGGAGAAATGCTGATAGCCAAATCTGGAGAAATTTTAAGACACAGGAAGCCATAGCCCATAGGAAAGAGTCCATGAGTAGGTATTCACTTTTGGAGTTTGAGAGCTCTGCCAAATGCAGGTATTTGATGGATTAATGTTTTTTTGTCTCCTAATTGCACCATAAGTAGAAGGTGTCAAGTAAACAACCCATCCGCATTTAGGAACCAGATTAAGACACCTTGGTCATTTTAGCAACTTAGCTCCTGACTGTTAATAAGTTAATGACATATACCCTTCTCCATACATGAGAATCAGTATGCAGTCCTTCGGATAATGCTCTGGTTGGAAACCTGACTGCTATGAACAGTGGCGGACCCACTAAGGGTCCCACGGGGTCCCGGGACCCCGCGTACTTTCAAAAAAATACCTATATATTATATACGAAGTATATTTTATTTAAAATTTAGTTATAACTTTATATATAACACAAAAACAAGTATGAGTCCCAAAGAATGGAGCAGAACAATGGAGGAAAGGCTTTAAAAACCTTTACTTTTCTTGGAGGTGTAAGGATCGATTCCCTTTCACTCATGTTCCTCTTTTTTTGGTTTATTATTGTAAAAGATCACAACTACATCCTTTTGCCTTTTTTAAAAATCCCCAACTTTACATAATTCAATTAATTATTAAAATTTCTATTATGATTTTCCATTATTAAGTGAAGAATTGAATAAAATAGTTGGTGATTATGAAATTAATTTGGTTGACAATCCACATGATCAACATGTTTATTTTGAATCTTTAGAAGCTTATCCTGGTTTTAGAGAAAAAAATTGTTGATTTGCATCCTAATGTTCAAGACGAGGTGCGCCATAGTAGGGACTATGAAACGCTGTACTACTTTAATATTTGGAATTTTATCAATTCAAAACTTGAAAGGTAAATGAATTATCAATACGAGACCTGAATGAAGAAATTTATAGATATAAGGCTCAAATGATGAAAATTGTCAATTTAGGACTTGAATGATTGAAGACTATCAATCTCGGACCTATATTGTCATGAATTTTTATTATTTTTATGTTAAATTTTTGAAATATTATTTAGTTTTATTAAACTAATAAACTTTTGTGGAAAAAAGTTTATAAAAAAATAGCAAAGGAATTAATAAAAAATAAATAAATCAAAATCTATGAAATCTTAGATCCTAGATTGATAATTTTCATCTTTCGGGTCCTATATTAATACATTTCATCTTTTGGGTATCGAATTTTTAATTTATCTATCTTTAAGGTCCTGAATTGATAAAATTTCTTAATATTTTGATGATATACATTAACTATGAAATGTTATGCTACTTTAATATTATATACTTACATTTTTTTTAAATTTTTTATTGTTTAGAGTTACATTAAGGTAGGAACCCCGTGACTCCGATTTTCTGGGTCCGCCACTGGCTATGAAAGTTGCCCACATGGAAATTTGCTTCTTTAATTCCCAGCATATCTTGAGTGACCAGTGCTTTTGACCAGTATTAATTCATAATCAAATGTTTTAATTCACAATAAAATCTAAAAAAATAATAAAATCGTAAAAAATATTAAAAAAATCGTAAAAAAATAAAAACAAGATAATAAAACATTTATAAAATAATAAATTTAAAAATATTTTTTTTTGAAATTATATAAGGTTGGCTTTCCTTATATGTTAAAAAAATCTTTGGCCACTTTTTTGTCCTATTTAGGTGATTAACTCAAGAAATTATATAAGGTCGGCTTTCCTTATATGTAAACTGCTAAGAGCACGAGATGTTCTAGGTGACTCCTTTGATGTATATAACAACAAAATTAACATTAGAAATTGTCTTAAATAGGAGTAAAAGTAATGTAAATCAAAGTTGCACTATTTTGGTTTTCTCTGAATAGGAGTAATTACTTTCATATGGTTGGAGATCCATTTAAATGTTTTGTAATGTCAAAGGATGACACTATGATTTTAGTATGACAATAATTTACTCATATTTAAATAAAAATATAATATTCTTATTTTAGAATTTCACATCATTTTTCACTCATACTTTGGAAAATGATACTAGAACTACACTTGCACCGTTTCAAATCCCTACTACAAAAACAACTTATGGATTTTTCTGAGAGAAGTCCATCTAATTGCTTGTGGTGAACCCTTTTCTCTAAGGGTGGGCGCAGATAGACACGGATGAAGTCTTAGAATATTTTTACTTACACTATTTTCGGACTCAAACCAGACTTAAACAGACCAGAGTAGATCAAACTAGACCAGGCCTGATTTAAATAGACCAGACCAGACTTTCATAGTTATAAAATACACAGAGGCCAAAAATTTACCAGATCGATCAGTTCAGACCAAACTAGATTAGACAAGATTTAAATAGATCAGATCGGACCATTAATTTCAATGCAAGTAAAAACATCTTTATTCTATTATGATCGAATTGGTTAGTTCATGTGTCCATTGAAGAATTTTAATAGGAATAGACCGATCATGTACATTAGATGGTTCTAGGCCAGTACCTAGCAAGTTTAGATAACAAGAATATTTAGGTCATTGACAAAACAGGGTAGATTCCCTGCTGACAATTCCAAAAGGTGTAGATTCCTGTCTACAGACCATTTTAAAAGGTGAACATATTTGGTGAATATGTTCAACAATTTATATATATATATATATATATATAAATAAAGCGGGAAACGTATTTGGCGAATATGTTGGACAATTTTGAATTAAAAAGTGTAGTACAGAGGCGTCTGGAGACTATTTTAATAGATGAACATATTTGACGAACATGTTCAACAATTTTCATTAAAAAAAATCAGTGGACGTATTTGCTAAATATGTTCAACAATTTCAAATAAAAAAAGTTTAGTAGAGAATCGGTTCCTGTATTAACATGTAAAAACAGTCCAATGCATTATTTATCTCATGCAACCTTTCAAAAACAATTAGAGCATCTTCAATGCTAAAACGTTAACGGTGCATACGTGGCATGAGAGATAGCCAATGAAAAAACAATAAATAGAATATTCCTCTCCTTATTTGAAGGATCTTATATCATTTGGTAAGTTTTTCTTCACAATGTCAAGCATAATGTCTAGATGTAGACATTGTGGTTGACATTACAGAGGAAAACTTACCAAAAACATATAAGACCGTGGAAAGACGGAGAGAGAAATGTCAAAAAATCAATCTTTTGTGTTTATCTCTCATGGCACATGTGCACCGTGCACATTGTAGCATTGGAGATGCTCTTATACAGTACTATCTACTGAAATGAAAATTTATATATTCTGAATTGAAATACTTTTTGAAATGATAAGAACAACTTGTTATTAAAAACTAAAAAACTAAAAAAGTACTGTACAATTTAAAAACGCTAAAGTATTAAAAATACATGAAATCATTGTTGTCCTCTTCTTCTGCTTGGACGCATATTCATCTCATTTTGAAACCTTGTTTCTTGACGACGCCCCACTCGAGAAGTTCGTGATAAATATTTCGGCGGTAAAAGATGGATCCCAATATCCGGCCACTCATTCACACTTGGTAGAGGCATAATATCACCCGCATGTGCATTAATGTAAGAGCTCAGTTTATATACCTCCGGAATGTATCATATACTCTACCCACATATATGGGTCGTTCGTCACGATATGTGGGTTCAACGAACTCCTCCTCATCCTCATCCTCGTCCTCGTTCTCATTTGGGTTATCATCACTGTCTTCGGAACTGCTCTCGTGTTCAAAAAAGGAAAGAGCGTTATAATCAGGATCATCGTCACTATCCGAAGCATCATGGGGGACATTGATGTCAATAATTGACCGGGTCACCTCTGTCACGCAATTCCCGAGCAACCTCCCCCAAACATTGAGTCTACAATATAAATTTATACAATTAATACTGTGAATTATTACATTATTTGAGAACACTAAACACTC